TTTCTATAATTTTTTTTCGAATCGTTGGCGTTTCGAGAATTATTGATTTTTCCACTCATGATTTCAGCTCATTCAGAAAATGTGTAGCAAATAATTTAACATTAATTAGCACCACTATATGTAAATACCCATTTCACGAAATAACCAAGGTTTTACAAATCATTTTAAATGCAGATATTTACTTTTTTCCGTTGCTGCATTAAATAAAACCGGCTTACTAAAATAAAATGTAAAGAAATTGTATTTGTTTTATTTTCCTAACTAAGAATGTTTTCGAAGAAAAACTATTTTCTTGATTGTCTCGAAGACGATGCAATAAAAAAAATCTTTCGAGAAAACTGATTTACTCGAGCTCGCTTCGAATTCGAAACGAGCCCAAAAAATATATTCGATAAATTTATTTTCTCGAGTTCGTCTCGAATTCGAATTGGGTACGTACNGCTTACTAAAATAAAATGTAAAGAAATTGTATTTGTTTTATTTTCCTAACTAAGAATGTTTTCGAAGAAAAACTATTTTCTTGATTGTCTCGAAGACGATGCAATAAAAAAAATCTTTCGAGAAAACTGATTTACTCGAGCTCGCTTCGAATTCGAAACGAGCCCAAAAAATATATTCGATAAATTTATTTTCTCGAGTTCGTCTCGAATTCGAATTGGGTACGTACTAGAGGGCTGCATGAATTCATTCAACCTTCTAGCCAAACAGAGTACAGTAGATTTGAATGTTTTACTTCATATACAAAACACTCAACGTTTGGAATTTTGTAAGTTATGAATATACATTTTGTTTTAAATTTTCTACCTTCAAATGGAAGAATGTGAATGAATGAATGGAAAACATTCAAATGATTCAAACTCATTTCGGTAAAAGTTTTTTTACAAACAATTTTGTATTGTAATAGGAGCGCAGCAATACATACATACATATGTATATTTGTACATACCAAGTGGGTATTGGGAGCACGTAATAATACCTTATTACCAACTTACTCTTCACCCGGCAGTCATTACCATTTCCCTGCCGAACGTCCCTTACTTTTACAAAGCCATGACCACCTTATGTAAGTAGGAATTTAGAATGTACATTTGGTATCAGACACTCTTCTAAGCCGCTTTACCAAATAAAGTAGGAAGTAGTTCGGCTTCCCATTCAAACGTATTTTATACCATTTAGGGACATGTGAGTATGAAAACGTAAGGCATTCATAATGTGCATGCATAAAATAAATCAGTTTGGCACCCAAAGAGCCTTACACGTAGCGGAAAACGTAAGCAGTACTTACTTCATAGCTTACGAAATAATGCACAAATAGAACGCACTACTAACCCAGGTCGTTGTGGTTTCCGATATATTTTTGTGCGCTAAACTCGGTTCTGGGGTCAAAAGGTGCCCATAACGTCATGGTTTTGAGAAAAGTGGGGGTAAGAACAACATGATGCTGTGTGTAAAAGTTAAAATAACTAGTAAATTAAAAAGTTTTTTGGAAAAAATATAATTAAATAAATTAAAATCAATTCTTTTGTGATTATTTCTCATTAAGCATATACAGTGAAACCCGCTTAAGTACCCCCCACTTAAGTACCTAACCCGCATAAGTAACCAAATTTTGGGCACCGTGAATTTTTGAATGTAATCTGAAGAAAATCTCTGTCTTAAGTACCGCCCCGCTTATTTACCCAACCCGCCTAAGTACCTAAATTTTTCGTACACCATTTACCATTTTACCGATAATTTTCCCCTTTTAAGTGCTCTTTTAAAATTCCTTAAAATACTTACATGTTTTGAAATTCAGTGGCAGCGGTAATTTTTAGCCACTTGAAATTTGCACATTATTGCACTAAAATGAATGAGCTATAAAACAGTGTTCTACAAAATCTTAAGCTTAGGTTTATATGGTATTTGTTAGGGAACGAACTGTATTTTAATTGAAAAATCTTAAAAATTAATAAATAAACATAAGATTATTAAGAAAATAGATAAACCAATGGTATGTAATTTTTACAAGAATAAAATTCTTTAAAAAGTCTTTTATTATACATATTTATACATCCATACAACCAGTGTTGGACATATCATTTTGAACCAAATTCCATTGATTTATCTATTTATTTTCTTAATAAAGTTTTTCTTTATTTGTTTATGATCTTAAATAATGCTACGGTCTTGGTTTTAAACTACGTATACTTCATTAAATGTTCATGGTTTATTGAAAGATTTACATATTTATGTAAGTTAACAAAAAGATGTAACTACATCAATGATTATGGCCCTTATTATGAGCTGCATTCGATTTTCGATCTTCGCTGGCTATCGAAGATAGAAGATCGAAAGTGAAATTCGTATTATGAGCTATGCAAGCGTGTCAAAATTTTCGTTAAATATCGAGTTTTCTGTCGAACAGGATTTTGCTTTCGATGGTGTAGCGAAGTGTTAGAAAATTGTGAAAAGTGTATGATTTTGTATATGTTTTCTTACATTTTGGCGGCTAGACACTAATTTTAAACAATTTTTATTAATTTCATGCAGTTATAACATCGTAAATACTAAACACAAGCTCGAAAGGCTGGTTTTACTTATGAAAGAAAATCCCAATACTCTGTTGGCACGATCTCTGAAATCGTAGCGCTGTTGATAGTTTTAAAATATTTTAAATAGATTTGGCTCACAAACGCCTCTTTAGATGGTCGGAACTTTTTAATGAATCTGTAGACAAATTTCTTAAATATATTTTATATCAAAATATATTCGAAAGACTAATAAACTTAAACTCTCTTAAACATTTGCTACTCCTGGCCAGTTTACTAAGCTCTCATCCTCTGACGAATCGTTGAACCAGAACTCGTTGTACTCATTTTACCACGTTTTTATAAACTCGCTTTCTTTTTTATTTCATTTTCATTAGAACAAATTTACATAAATATGTAAAGCACACTATTTAGTTTGCTCGATTTGTAAACAAAGCTTCTCAGCAGTGAAAAATATACTATTGTGAACAACCTAAACGATCGAAATTCACAATAGCGCTATTCTTCATCGAATGAGCGCCATAATACCAAATGAAAATTCGTTCGCTTAGCACTTTCGACCACAGTCGAAAATCGAATGCAACTCATAATAGGGGCCTATGTTCGCTTAAGTACCCGCACCGAGGTACTTAAGCGGGTTCTTTTAAGTGCCCAACCCGCCCAAGTACCTCAAAAAGCTGAAATTTTTCGTGAGGTACTTAAGCAGGTTTTACTGTACTGTTTTTAATTAATTTATTATAATTATGTAGGAACAGTTTATCTAATAAGTATATCGCCCCAATATGCCAGTTCGAGTGCGAGTTTAATTTCAGTCTGGCTACGAACGAATAATTACAGCGCACAAAAAAATCACGAAACAAAACTTAGTGTAGGTTGTAGGTAGGGTCGACTAGAACAATTAAATTTTATGTGTACTCGACCCTAGTCACAACCTAAAATAAGTTTTGTTTCGGGGGCATTTCAGCTTCTTTTGTAGTACTGTTTAATAAAATTCTCTTTTGCCTATGAGGCATCTTAATATTAAATACATGGGGATTGATAATAGTTTTAAGGGTTTCAAGTAAATATATCAGCGTTGCCGCTTTGGTAATTTTTAACCAAAATTGGTAATTTTTTTCTTTATTTATCAAGTTTGGTAATTTGGTAATTTATTTTTCAATTTGGTAACTTTTTCTCTTCGGTCTTACATGTCAGATAGGTTAATCTTGGTTCTGGTTCCACAGTAGTAAGTGGCCCGTAAGCGTTTCCTTTTATAGAAAAACCAGGTAATCCTGAAAGTTTCGCAAGGCGAAAGTTGTTCCAGCGTTCCTTTGCTAATAGAATGGTGTGTTCTTTAAGAAACCCGCTTGAAAGTTTTGGGTGATCCCTGTCAGTTCGTCCGCATTTCAATTATGTACTATCAATTTTCCGGTGTACCCGGCAACATATAAATGAGTAGAATTCTACGTAAATACGTATGTTCTCATTCAAAAAGCTACGGCATTCAGCGGGGGACTTCACTCTGTCTATGTGTGAGTCGAAAGCTTTCTTTCAAGCGTTGAATTTTTGATATATTTTCTTGTCACTTGTTTACATACAGTGGTCGACAAAATTATAACCGCACCATATTTTGATAAGTTTTAACATGTTATTTCCTTTCTTTGTAATTTAATTTTGGTTATTTTTTATAAAAATATTGTTCTTTCTTTAACAGAACTCAAAAAAATTCAAACATCAAACTTTGTTCAATATTTAAAAAATTCAACCAACTTTCGTAAAAATTTTATGTTAATGGAATTGCCTGAAAAGCTTTATATAGAAAGGCCCTAACTGATATTGTCGCTGAATACAAAAAGCCGTAACTAAGTAAAAATCCAAAATTTCCCTTTTGTTTGTTTATGATGCATTTCATCCAATTATAAATCCGCACATCATTTTAAGCATACAAAATTTTAGTCAGTAACGGCTTTTTTTTGCGTATCAGCGACTATATGAGTTAGGGCCTTTCTATATTAAGATAACGATATGTACAGACATATCGAGCACTAACTGCCAAAATAACGTAAGCGACATTTTTTTTTTTTCCAAATTTTCTTTTTGATGCAGAAAGGCATCGATATGTATGTTTGTGCAGTTCTGCACATAAAATAAGCTTGGCAATGTTGAATTTGGTAACTTTTTCCGGTGATTTTGGTAAAAAATAAAAAAATTTTGTGGCAACACTGAAATATATAGTATTTCAGTGTTCAGTAAGGCAAGTATTAATTTAGGTAAAAGGTAAATATTTCACATTTAAGTGTGGACAGTATTTAAATGATTAATTTTGAGTACAGTAGCGGAAAATAAATGAATAATAAAAATGTGAATACAGATTGTTGAATCGGTTGTAATAATTTTGTTTTCCTTTCAATACATGCGTTTTTGTAAAAAACATTTTTACAGTTTTTAAAAGCAGTTCTTATATCGCGTACATATTCCTCCTCTGTGTAACCATTCTTTTTAAGCGCTTCTGCAAAGAAATATGTTGATTAGTTATAAATTTCCATACAAAATTAACTGTATTTTACCAAATATCGCATTATTGAAGGCCTTGTATTGCTTAAATGAAATTTTGTTATTGACGCCATCATAATTCATCATTAGGATGACTTTTCTGTCAATCGTTGTTTTTTGCTAAACCTTCAGGTGCAATAAGGGTTTTAATTATGGAAATCTGAAATTATATTAGGAACTATATAGATAATGCAAAAGTTATAATTCAGAAACAAAACGTACATAATGCTCTGAATTCTCGCTGCATGCAGATTCCATTTCCTTCATCTCGTTAATGCTAGGTATTGGGAACGATCTTTTCAGCTTGTTATCTGGAACATTTTTTTTTCATTTTTTCCAGCTTGTTGCAGTCAAATTGCTTTCTGTAAAATAAAGAGAAAACATAAGGTTATGTAGTTACAAAAAGTTGTATTACATCGATGGTCCTCTGCAATAACGACACAATTAATAAAATAAAAACCCTTACTTTGTCTAATTCTTGTATAATCCTTATCACTTACTTTAGTAAGGATTGGACATGGATTAGAAAAGGGTTAGAGACATGAGCCACTTAACAGTTGTAAGGGTTTTTCTTTTTTAATTTTGAATTGTGTCGTTATTGCAGAGGATCATCGATATGTCGAGCCATATAATTTTTAAAAAATGTCGCTTACTTTTTTCACTGTTATATCCCGATATAATGTTATGTATATGATTATGTTAACTTTAACACATACGCTCTACGTTTCCCAATTTTTGTAAAATTTGGTTTTGATTATCCAAAATAAGTTGTTGGTTACTTTCCAAAAGAGTTATTCGTTGCTCCAAATTTGTGTTTGCTGAAAAATGAGAAAGGGGTTGTACTTAAGTAATTAAGATAGGCATTTACATACATTAAATTTTACTTTTATTTTAAATTAATTTAATGTATATTATTACATTTTCACTTTCTTATATTTTTTATTTATAATATTTTAATATAACGGGGCGTATATTCAGAAGTAAATTGGTATTTGACTTATGGCGTTTTTTTTTTCTCGAAAAAAAGGTCACCTTCTTATATGGCAACACTATAAGAGTACAACATTTTAAAGAAAGAGCACGCAATATGCATGTGAAGATGCTGAGAAAAGAACACAAAAACTTGACAGTCCTGGCGCAGGGCAGAATAAATGCAACATTTTTTCGAGAAAAGAAAACGCTATTAGTTGTAGCTTTTTTGACAGATAGCCATTTATCTTACAAGACGGGTACCGGTTAGTTAACAAATGAAGTAATGGTTCGTGTTCACGCTTACGTTTGTTAAAAAACTCTTTATCTGTGTTCTGGCCGTGGGCAAGAAGTAACTAATTTCCCCGTGTTTCTACACGTCTGTGTGATTTTCTTATTCACTCTATCCCATTGCGTTTACGTTAGACTTTCTAGCTTCTTTCGCTCTAGTGTTATCTGGTACGTACGTTACAGCGGCTGTTAATCGTTTGTTAACAGCACCAGTTTCATCGTGTATCAGTTCTGTTATCTATGTTTCTGCAAACCAGTCTATCGGTTACCGTATTTATTAATTATTGTTTACCACAATACGTTTGATTGGTTACCCCCTTGGTTATCTATTTGTTACATTCATCAATTCCGTAGGTTACCTCGGATTTTGGATTGGTTATCTCTTTGGTTATCTAAATGTTACCTCGAACCCCTTTATCAATTACCTCAATTGTTATTTGTTCGTTACTTTCCAACCATATAACAGTTACCTAGCTTCCTTGAAATCCTTCCAATAAAAATATTTTACATTTAAAATTTTTTATTTGGGTATAATAATAATAATAATAGATTGGCGCTTACACATATGTTAGTGTTTGGCCGAGCTTCTCCTCCGATTTGTAGCGTGCGCCTTGATGTTGTCACACAAAGCGGAGGGACCTACAATTTTACGCCGACTCCGAACGGCGATTGTATTTTTATGAGAAGCTGTTTTTCATGGCAGAAATACACTCGGAGGTTTGCCATTGCCTGCCGAGGGACGACCGCTGTTAAGAAAAAACCTTTTTCTATATTTTTTGCGATGTTGCTTTGACCAGGGCTTGAACCCAGGCATTGCGGAGTGGAAGCGCGCACTGCTTACCACTACACCACAGCGGCCGGGTATGTAATCTTAAAATCCATGGTTGTTATAAATACAAATAAATTCTTGTTACAAATAACTACATTAACAACTTAATGAGTATTCTAGTTAATCAGCCCTATTCTGCATTTCGACTCGAATCGAAATTTTCTCCGTTTGGCAACTTTGGTATTGTGCGTTCCGTTTCGTTTCGATCAATCTTCGAAATTTACGATTATACCTATTCACATTTCGATCGTAGTTACGTTTTTCTAAGTTGCAAATCTGTTGACGGAGAACGTTTCGATTGTTATTTTCGTGGGTTTAAATATTAAAATTTTATAAAAAAAACTCATCATAAATGAATTTTCTCGATTTCTGTGTTTTCGCGAGCAGCAATACGGGCAATACGAAAAATTGACTCAAATAATGGCAACCAAAAGGGATATTGCGCAGGGTTTTCAAAGAGGAAGTCCAGGCGTTTTTGTTTTCATTATCTATAAATAAGACTGTGAAATGCACTGGATACAATTTATTCTTTTTATATAACATACATACGTACGTAAAATATGGAGGTATATAACAAAGATGATTTTATTATTGTACTCGTTTTTACTAACTTTTTAAAAAGTGGTGTGCATGTTGTCTCGAATACGATTTGCTATGGAAGGACAAGCTTTGTTCTTCCCCTCCTCCTGACGGCTTTCAAAATCGAATTCATTTGCGTTCAAGTTTTCCACTCTGTACTAAATGCAAATGTTATGGAGTGCTCAAACAACGTTTATAATTTCACTGGCTTTGAGCGGTGAGAATGCAGTTCAAGATGAATTTCTTATAATTCTTCCTCATCTGAAAAGGATCAAACATGTCTCTAAATCTCCGCCTTTCAACTTTCGCATCAGCAATCTGGGACTCGTTCTGCTCTTCAAGCAATAAAATTATGTTTCTACTTAAATTAAGAACAAACGAAATTTTATTTTTAAATTAAAATGAGTTAGATATATTTAGTTATTTTGAAATATTTACAAATTTTAACTTCATAAGCTACTATAGTTTGGTGCAATTATTTCTTTTGTTTTGTTTCGATTTCACACATTCCTAGGCAACCAGCTGATTTCGAAGATGTTTTCGCTCCTCCTCTTCTTCTTTTGATTCGAGCGTAACTCAGAATACCAAATTACGAATGTAGCGGAGCGGAATGCGGGAACGTAATCGAAATGCAGAATAGGGCTGAATAACTTAAAAAAGTAAATACCAATATCGAAATATAATTACAAATTATAATATAAAATCACAAAGTTTAAACTATGCTGAATATACGAATCTTAATTAGATAACTTAAAAGCATACATTAATTTACTAGAATATTAACTACTAAATACATTTACAACTGATCATATAAAATGAATTAAATATTAAGAGAAAATGATTGACCATTTAAACATTCATAATTTTATGAAAGAATACTTAAATATTAAGGACTGCTCTCGAAATCGTTGCGTAGTTATATTTAGATATATGTATAGTTTTAAATTAAGTTATATAATATATTAGTTAATAAAAACAATAATAATTAATACTAATAATGAGCACCATTGCTATGGAACACATAAATGTGTACATAAGCCTTTTAGATTTTTTCTTTTCAAAACTGTGGTTTGTGTGGATCTATATTTTTTACTTTACATCATAGATATTACTTATATTATTATATTTACTTTATATAATCTAACCGACATGGGGTCATCCATCTTTGATAGTGTTTCCTGTATTCTTGGAATTGCGTCGATATCATATCACTTAGCTGATCTTTCCTGTAAATAAAGACATCTTATAAATAACACTTATTTAACATAAAGGCTTAAAAAGTAATAGTTAATTGCCATAAAATAAACATTACATATTTTGTTTAATATACCAAAACTCATTTTATTTATTTATAGCTATACATGTATATAGAATGTATTAGTAATTAAAAAACTGATTTTGATTTTATAACTACACGTATGTATATTTACAACTTAGGCTAATATTTACATATTAATATTAATCCCTATCAGGCTGATATATAATTAAAACTATCTATATCTAAGTATTTACACCTTATTACTAGTTATAACTAAATACTTGTTAAAAGTTACTATATATTTACAACTTAAGCTATCTATGCCTTTAACGCGGATTCATCGTTATAGTTCAGAACTTTTCTTCACTGTGGTAGTTGTGTTTCTCTCTGGCAGAGCAATTTAGAAAAGATTTGGACGCATTTGGGTTGTTAACTCAATTTCAACTTTAGTTCTGCACTAGAACGATGAATCCATCTTTAAGCTATAAATATTTACATCTAATGTAATACAATGTATTAATACTTAGACTACCTTACTGCTTAACCTTAAGTTTGTGCTTTTTTTTGCTTAAACCTATTGTGACTAAGTGCTACATAACGCCAAATTTCATTAAGGGTCTGCTCCTTCGTGTTCTCCCCAAATACATCTAGAAAGAGTTTATATGAATGTATTAATTTTTAGAAAAACTGAATTTTAATAAACATTTTAATTGAAATTACATAATACTGACCGAAAACCAAGTCGATTCTTTTTCTTTGCGTCCCTCCAAATTATAGCCGGCCCCCAAGTTATCGTGCAGCAGCGCACACAGAACTCTGTCTACACTGCCTTTTACACCTTTTGACTTAACTAACAGCCGCATCTGAAAGATAAACGAGAATGTTTAAATAATTAAAGTAATCGAAATCAATGCGCATATATTAAAAAACAGCAAAATTATTACCAATGCATCACTACTGGCCTTTGTACAGAGTTTCGTCTCTACGGCTAGCAATGTCTCCTCTGATGACATGGGAAGCATGGAGGCGAGCTCTACGTATTCCTCGTCCTCTATGTCACCTGTGATGCGGGTAACCGATAGCTGAGTTCGCGCCGCGATGACTTTGCATTCACGTAATATTTTGCTTTGCGCTTGAACCTCAGCTTTCTCAGGCATTTGGAAAACAAAAAAAAAAATAAAATAAAATTTTTTAATATACAACGCTTTTATAAATGGACTAAAAAGTAGAAAATAATATTTCTCAGACCCACAGAATTTGTTTTGATAACTTTTGATTTTGAAATTTTAGCAAAAGTCATTATAAACAATTAATGACATTGAAAAAGAAAAACGTGGAGCGCATGCAGTACAAAGCATTCGATTTCATTGACAATAGTCAAACTACATAACATTCTACAGCGAAAGTACAAATTTGAGATCGATTTTAAGCGGTCGTTATTCATATGCCCCAAACATACATATGTTACTTTTCATATCAATTCAAGTGTATTACATGCGCCCCACGCTTTTCATTTTCAATGGCGCATATTCATAGTCATATTTAGTACTCAACTAAGTCGAAGCTATTCTAAGTCACAACTAAAGCTATTCATAGTCGCCTTAGTTTCGACTTTTCTGGCTAAGTACCAATTTAAAATTTAGTTTCGGCTGCAGCTACAACTAAGTCGTAACTAGGAAGAAGTATTTTATCAAATTAAGGGAAAACAGACGAAATATGTAAAAATTAATTTGGTAGAGGGTGATTTTGATAATATTGAATAATATCCAATTAAAATTTACAAAGATCGATCCATTTTAATCGGAAAATGAAATTAAATGCGTATTACAATTCGAATAAAGCTACATCACAATTATATAATTGGAATAATTTAGATAAATTTTCAAATAATAAGTCAGTTTCACGCTAGTTCTTTTAAAGTAAATTTGTGCATAACATTTAGATATCTACTATTTGTATGTTTCACACCATGCTTTCGATAAACATCGACTGCGGTTGTTCTGGTTATTTCACACAATTAACAAGAAAATGATACCTTATTCTTTTGCATAATCATGCAATGAAAATAAAAATTACATAAACGGATAATCAAACTTGATATTATTTAATAAAAATGTAATTTTTCCAAAATATCGTAAAGAAAAATCGATACATTTTCACACTCGTTTTGCTATATCGTAAACTAAGTCGAAACTACTTAGTAGAAGTCTGAAATGCGACTATGAATAGAGGTAAATTTTAAGTTGGTACTTAAATTTAAGTTGCAACTTTGTTAGTTTCGACTTAGTTGCTGGACTATGAATACGCGCCAATGTCATTAACTGTTTATAATGACTTTTGCTAAAATTTCAAAATCAAAAGTTATCAAAACAAATTCTGTGGGACTGAGAAATATTATTTTCTACTTTTTTGTCCATTTATAAAAGCGTTGTATATTAAATTTTTTTTTTTAATTCTATTTATTTTCTACTTTTTAGTCTTGTCTGTACAAAATTTTGCAATAGATATTAAAACAAGTAAGAAAGTCTAAGTTCGGGCGGAGCCGAACATTAAATACCCGGCGCAAGTATTAAATATATGTTTTTCACCTTTCCGAAAGCTACCGCTACATGGTAAACCGGGGTGTATCCATTTTGAGTAAATTATTGTCCTTAAATTTCGAAATATTGAAGTTTCAAGCATTTCTGAAATTTACTGTTACATGGAAAGGGGCCGTAATTTTAGTTCGATTTCAATAATTTTCAACGTTTTGCTTCTATGTGGCAAGCACAATAACCACACCGAGTTTGGTACAAATTGCTAGAACGGTTACCGAGATACATATATGTGATCATAAGTGGGCGGTGCCACGCCCATTTTTCAAAATTTTCTCTTAAGCGTATTTCTTGGTAGAGAATTGTTGCAAGCATCAATTTTGAATAAATTAGCTTTAATATTTACTGATTTATCGAAGATTTCGTATTTCTCTAAATTACCGTTATATGGGATGTGGGCGTGGTTATTGTCCGATTTTAAAAATTTTCGGCCATTTCGTATGTTATACCAAGGTTAACATCTGTGCCAAATTTGGAAGAAATTGGTGCAGCGGTTACCAAGATATACACATGTAACCATAAGTGGGCGTGGCTACGCCCATTTTCCAAAAATTTTTAATATTCTTATTTTTCGTCTAAAAGTTATTGTAAATATCAATTTTGAGTGAATAATCTTGAGTAGTTACTAAAATATCGCAGTTTTCGTATTTCTGAAAATTACCGTTATATGGGAGGTAGGCGTGGTTATTGTCCGATTTTGCCCATTTTCAATACCATCCGTCCTACGCCCGAAAGAAGTGCATATACCAAGTTTCGTTAAGATATCTCAATTTTTACTCGAGTTATCGTGTGCACAGACGGACGGACGGACGGACGGACGGACGGACGGACAGACAGTCAGCGCTTAATCGATTTCTCTTTTCATCCTGATCATTTATGTATACATATGTCTATATCTATCTCGATTCGTTTTGCCTGTTACAAACAACCGTTATGTGAACAAAGTTATAATACCCTTTTGCACAAGTGCGCTCGGGTATAATAATTCAACTTGCAGTGAAAGAGAACAGAAGACTATCCAAGCACAATGTTGTTTGCTCACATTTAGTATAAACATACATCTGTACATACATACATATATCTGCAGTCTATTTCATTTAAAGAAATTGTGTGTCGTCCATTGCCGCTGTGACGTATATAAATAGTGCATATACTTAGGTGCAATATTTAACTCTGGCGGGGCGACATCTAGAGTCTTATAATTGTATCTCATTGATATGATGCCTACAACGAGGTTGATATCTAGACTAGGTTGATATCTAGAATTTTCCATAAATAGCTTTGCTACATTTATAGTAGGTGCATTTTTTCTGCCACCGAGCTACAAAAGAACACTCGCTTAAATGACGAAATATACGCAAAGCAACAACACAAACTCGGCTATTTATCCGAGCTCAGCCAGGTCGGTTAAAAAATACGCGACCTGAAGGCTAGTGTTGGTAAGTGAAAAAACTGCTCTATTGTGAATTGTTAATGGGAATGCAGAGAACGTATATTTATAGAGAAGGCCAAGAACGGATCAGCGTGGAAACTGTCAAATACCAACAAAACTGGCGAAGCGCATTTTAAGAGCGGCAAGCCAGAGACAATCGAATTTTAACAGAGCCCAGCCAGAGGCAAAATAAATTTAACAGAAATTGTCTCATCAAAGCAAATGCATGTTTTCTTGTTAGACAGCGAAATGCTGATGGCTTTTTACGTTTTAACAACGCTTTTATTGTTCTTTAAATTGGTTAATTATTTAAAATAATGGCATGCATAGGTCGAAATATGTAATATGTACATATTTAGGGGATTCACAAGACGTGTTAACCGTCGTAAAATCTTAAGCTTAACACTTGTTTATGTAAAATAGCGGTTAAAATGGTTGGGGGGTTGGCTAATTATATATTCTTTATCAGTTTAAAAGAATTTCGGTTTAGTTAGAAATCCCCTAAAACCATTTTAATTAAAAAAGATGTTAACCTTAAGATTTTACGACGGTTAACACGTCTTGTGAATCCCCTAATTGTGTACATGCACATGTATGCGAGAGATACAATTTTGTGAATCTAAAATGTGAAAGTTATGCAAATATGTAGTATGCAATTGGCAAATTCGTTGGTGATTTGCCGTCGGCATTTGGGTTGAAAAAATCGACTTTTACTTTTTTACCGATTCATATGGTAGATGCTACGCTATTTTCAACGCAACAAACCGCAGTTTTATAGCTGCCTTAGTTTTTCCCCAAATTCACTTTAAAGATGGACACATTGACCAAAAAACGCAAATGCGCACTGTTTGGTGATTTGATGTCGGCATTAAAAGCGAAGAAAATCGGTTTTTATATTTTTAACGATATGGTAGCTAATAGGTACGCTGTCCTCAATGCAACAAACTGCAGTTTTCTAGCTGCCTTAGTTTTCTCACAAATCCACTTCAAAGATGAATACATTGACAAAGAACGTACAAATGCATTGATTGCACTGCACGTGTTAACTTCAAGGTTGTTTTTGTCGAAAAGTTATTTATATTGAGAAAAACTATATTATCATTTTTCACTGCTATACTCGTATTATATGTAAATAATGGGGCATATGCATAGTTAAAATAAAGCCGACACTAAAGTTACAGCTTTTTCATATCACTTTCAGTGGACTAGGCATCCGTGAAAAAAATATGCAACTAACTGTCTTCTTATTTGGGACTGACAAACTTAAACTTAGAGTAGACTTTATTTCATATACGAATATGCCCCAATAGTTTTGGAGGCAAATGAAAATGCATTTCCCCATGCATACGTATGTACATACGTACTCCATTAATTGATAACGTTTTTACATGCATACATATAAATGTATGTATGTGCATATTACTGCCAAAATACTACGAACACACACACAAATGTACATACCCTGCAGCGGGTTCGGAGACAATTGTCGCTTTCGTACTAGTTACATTACTAGTTCCAATAGCATATTATGATCCAGGCAGTAATAAATCGAGATATTGGTTACATATTGCACTTTCTAAAGGTTATTTTAATATAGTAGGCCGTTTTAATATAATAGTGCTCCCTTATTACATAAAGGAATTTGTTATTTATCATCTAAATACAAATAATACATTTTGAATACTTATCCATGTTATGTTTCCCTCGTGTGACCACCACGCAAATATCGGACATAAAAGTACCAAAATAAAGCAATACATATGTAGATACCCCTTCTTACATAACATTTCTATTTCTTAAATTATTTTGGGGGCAATTCACGTCAAATGTCCCTGCGCCCTGAGCGGTGCAAAACAAGCTACTGTTCGACTAGCTGCGAAGCAGACAGAAAATAGGAAAAATGATTCGAAAACTATGATTTCTATAGATTTTTGTACGGGCTATGCGATGGCACTGAGCGTTTTCCAAAATTTTCCCATTTTCATGGTGAAAATTCTGAACGAAAATTTATTTGTAATTTTTCTGAATTATGGTCATTTTTAATATTGTTTTTAGTTATCTCAATCGAAAGATCAAGTCTTTTTACATATAAATCACTAATAAAAAAGGACTTTTTTTACTTTTCCGAGTT